AGAAGCCAGCTGCCTGTCTCGTGGCTGGGGTGCGTAAAAGGGGGCATATAGCTCCTATTTTGTCTTTCCTTCACTGGCTTCCAGTGTCTTTCAGGATTCATTTTAAGATTCTTTTATTTGTTTTTAAGTCTTTAAATGGTCTTGCTCCATTGTATCTTGCTGAGCTTTTATTTCCTTATAGTCCCTCCCGGTGCCTCACATCAGCTGACCAGCTCTTGCTGGAGGTACCGAAGACTAGGCGTAAACTCAGAGGGGACAGAGCGTTTTTCACTGTGGCTCCTAAGCTATGGAATGTGCTGCCCCTTTACATCAGGCAGGCCCCCTGGTTGGCTATTTTTAAAACTTACTTGAAGACTCACTTGTTGTTTGATATGCTGAGACTCTGTTTGGGCTGTGTTTTGGTTGATAGTCTTTTGTCATTTTGCTATGTTGGTTCTTTTATGTTATTTTATTGGTATTTTAATAACGTAGTTGTCACGTTTTTAGATGTTTTGAATTGTATCTTATGTTAAGCACTTTGTTGGCCTCGGCTGTGTTAAAGTGCTTTATAAATAAAGTTGAGTTGAGAAAAATTGTATTGCTTGTCTGCCAAATGTTACAAATGTGCATTATGATGAAAGTGATGAGGTTAATATGGTTATTTCACATCATACATCGCAACCATAACTGGATATCATCCAGAATTAGGTCCGTATGAAAACAAATGACCTCACTGACTAAATGGGGTGTACTGTAATGATTGAGTATTATGCTGGCCTCAATTACAGCCTAGATTCACAAAAATGTACAGTAGGTGTTCTGTGCAACCATATTGACCTTGTCATCACTATACAAAGTGCGATCTATTACCTCTTTGAGCAGTGGAGTTTTGAGAAGCTCGTGATAGGCCTTGGCAGACTCCTCAAACTTGTCATGTTTTTGAAGATCTAAAGCTTTGTGATATAAAGCAAAAGCCTCGGCTTCCTGTGGACAAAAATCAAAGTTGACAACTTGTCCAATTACACTGAGGGAAACAGCTGCATCTCTGAGAATGCCACATACTACGCATGCATTATTATAAACGCTGTACCTGAGCCTCTTTTGTCCGACTCTTGTTATTTCTCAGTGGATCTTGAGACTCATCTGCAGTTGTTGCAGCAGCATTCAGTGCTGCAATGCGAATCTGTAAATGTGGAAAAAGAGGCTAAAACACTTTAGCAAGCAGAGAAGGGGAGTCTGTGAAATCTAAAGGAGAACAGAGGCAAAGCAGCTACCAAAGATGCACTCATAAAAAGCCTTACCATTTTTATATTTGGAAAGCAGACTTCACACCTTCACCGTGTGCAGCTTTTGTTGTGATCTACATATATTTATGGGAAGCAAAGACAAAAAGCAGACAACGAATCGAAATGCAATTGTAAAGTGGGGAAAAACTAACTCTCTAACGTTACTGAATCTTGCATTCACTAATGCCAGCCGTTCTAATTATTATTCAGTTTGTGTAATGTTGCGTGTATGTGGAGACTTCTTGGCTAAATAAGACATACCTCGCCAGAAAGAAGAGCAAAGCAACCTGCCGCAGTTAGCTGTTATCATTTTACACATTGTTAACCGAGAGGGAACATGCTGCCAATATAAACCTAGCCTGGTTAGCTTAGCTCTGATTTGGAGCATTGCTGCAGGTTGTCCTGACCAATGCTTTGCTGGTGCATAACGCACCAGAACTCCGGACAGCGGGTGGTGAATATATTTTCCAGATGGGGCATTAAATTCAGCAAGCTAAAGACAAGGATATCGCCTCAGTTAGCCGATATTAGCAAACACCGATTATATGAGCTAATGTTAGCTAGTGTTTCACCGGGTGATCATCACCTGCAAAGCTTGGGCGACTTACCGTTCATTCCCGTTTTAATTGCACGTGTAACATTGCTATTGCTAGAACAAGGCGGTGAATTCTCAAAACACTGCAGTCATGACAGGACAGGACATGAGGCACAAAGACAGTTTGAAACTTAATTTATTCATCATCCTTTGTTGTTGTTAACGTTTGGAGCGGTTGCATCACGGGATGACACTCGGTACTCGCTATTTAGCAAAGTTGTCACCCATTGGTCGATACTCTGTGGGTGGAGTCAGGTGACCAATCAGATATTATGACATTGGATGAACCCTCACCAACACTGAAATGTAACTTACCCCAAAGAAAAACTATTTTATTGTGATTAAAAATGCTAAAATTAGACATTATGTAGGCAAAATGAATAAAGTAATTTTGACCGTTTTTAATGTAAATTTGGCAATTTTGAAAATAATCCTGAAATATCAATTAGACTGTTTAAAATACAGAAATCGACCTAGCCTGTATTTGTTTGTGGATTTAGGCCTACCTTTAAGTTAAAGTCACCTTAATCACATACAAAGTTTATGAAATCAGCAATCAATATAGACAAAATCAAATAAAAGGACCGTGTTCAGTGGTGTTTTCGGAACCCAAACTAGTCCAGGTCCGTTCATATAGGTAGGATGTTTTCCTCTGATAAACTAAAACCAACCTACAGTGGGTACGGAAAGTATTCAAACCCCCTTAAATGTTTCACTCTTTGTTATATTGCAGCCATATGCTAAAATCATTTAAGTTCATTTTTCTCCTCATTAATGTACACACAGCACCCCATATTGACAGAAAAACACAGAATTTGACATTTTTGCAGATTTATTAAAAAAGAAAAACTGAAATATCACATGGTCATAAGTATTCAGACCCTTTGCTCAGTATTTAGTAGAAGCACCCTTTTGAGCTAATACAGCCATGAGTCTTTTTAGGAATGATGCAACAAGTTTTTCACACCTGCATTTGGGGATCCTCTGCCATTCCTCCTTGCAGATCCTCTCCAGTTCTGTCAGGTTGGATGGTAAACGTTGGTGGACAGCCATTTTCAGGTCTCTCCAGAGATGCTCAATGGG